ACTTTGAGAGGGGGCAGAGGAAACCTGGGTAGGCTAGCACAGAGAATGAATAAGGAAGATATATGACTCTACTAATAAAGGATATTACAGTCTTTAAAAAATATTAAATTCTGATCTGTGACCATTCAATTGGGCATTTCAGTAGTTACAGATTCTTAAATAAATTAGATGAGTCTTTCTGAAGACTGGTCTTAATTTAAAAGTCCTTTTTGATAGCAGCAACTTCTGGTTATTTAAGGATAAAACTGGAGCATTTGAGAGTAAAATTGTCATTCTGAGCTCAAAAGTTGAAAAAAATAAGAAAATGTCAATTCCCATTTTTAAAAAGCAATGTGCAAGTCAGTGAAATCAAAGCACAGTGGATATTATCCACACTTGTAATGGAAAATCTACCCACTAAAATACCTAGGCATTTGCTTTTAAAGACTTAATTATAGCAACTCATGTTAAAGCAGAGAAGAGAAATCAGACTTCTTGATTTTTAGAGATATTCTTATCCATGAAATCACAAGTCATATTTGCATCTATGCTCCTTATTTGGATATGCAACACAAATAGAAGTTCATTGCCATCTACATAGGGGGTAATGGATCCCTGTTTTCCAGGTGTCTGCATGTTTCTTGTCTAATAGCTACTTCCTCATCACTTCTAGGGTTTTCTTCCACAAGTTATATATACCCCTTTGGGTCATCCCTGCTTCCCCTCTTGGTCCTCTGTGACAGTCCCAATGCACCAACTGTTAAAAGTAGCGGCAAAGGCAATTATGGCCAAAGGGCTCAGCCTGGCAAAAATTTCTCAGGCCTTAAATAGCTAAACAGAGATTTTACTAATGGCTTCAGAGCTACAGTGGTTTTTGATCACAGATAAAGGAGTGGACTATGATAAACAAAGCATTAATATGGTGGTTAATAAGGTCTACATAGAGAGATGGACAAAATATTTGACAAGATTATCAAACTTGTCTCAATCTATACTCTCTCAATCAGGGGCTAAGGGAGCCTATGTACTTTCACCAATGTGTGGTTCATTGGTTTTTAGTTTGCAAATATGAAAGGTAAAAATGCTACTCTATTGTACTTTTAACTTACATTTATTTGACTAATTATATGTTTGAAATACCTAACATTTATTTGTTGAGTGCAATTCTTTTATTCTGTGCCTACTATATTTATATTCTAAGCACAATTTTAGGTGCTTCTGTAAACAAGTCAAATGTAGAGTTTGTTTTTAGTGCAAGAAACAAAAATATCCACAATAAATAAATAAAAAGCTTAAAAAGCATTTTAGGCAATGATCATTGCTATGAAAAACACAAAAAAGAGTAGCAAAGAAAAGGGACAGAGAGTAAAGGAGTCTATTATTTTTGACACAGTATCAGAGTGAGCCTCTCTGAAGAGACAATACTTGAACAGAGTGTGCCACATAGATTCATGAGGAAAACATTCCCAACATAGAAAAGACAAAATCAAAGCTCTGGAAAGTGGTTGAGGGTCTATTTTTGTGTTTGAGGAAAGTGAAGCAGGCCATTTGGCTGCAGCCCAGCGAACAAATGCAGAGTGATGGTGACAAATTAAGTCGGAGAGAACAAGAGGCCAGAGCATGCAGGCCACTAAAAAGGCTTTGAATTTTGACCCAAGAGTTTTGGTAAGTCATTGCAGGGCTCTGAGCAGTGGAGTGATTTAATCTGGTTTACATTAATTGGCTGTTGGTAGGAAAAGGGTCTATAAGAAAGAGAGGAAATAGGGAGATTAGCAAAGAGACTAATGGTGACATGAGCAATGGTAATGATAATATGGTATTAGCAGTACAAAGAAAGGAAAGTAATATGTTTCAGGATATTTTGAAGAGGACATGCTACTGGGCTTGTATGATTAAGAGAAAAAGGAATTAAGGGCAATTTTAAGGCAACTGGGTAGGGCTGCTTATCGTGGTGGACAAACACTGGAGAGATAATAGGATCATAAGTATGGAGGTAAAAATCAAGAACTGTCCAGAAAGTGTTAAATTTGAGACGCATATGGAACATTTAAGAGGAAAGAATAAGTAGAGTGATATGTGAGTTCAAGGGGTAAAACTGAAGACATAAATATGGACCCTGCAGCTGCATAGGGTGTAAAATCATGAGATGGATTGAAGTCCTCTAGGGAATGAGTAAGGAGAAGGAAAGAAGCCTGAGGATGTTTCAACATTGAGAAGAAGTGGTATGAACAGGCACACAGAGCATGGTATGAAATAGAATGGCCACTCAGACAGAACCTTGTGTTTTTTATTCAACCATGTATGTTCTTTATACATTAGTAATTTAATATTACTTTGTCAGTTATATCAAGTACAAATATTTTCCTAATTTTCTACTTGTCTTTTGATTGAGACTATCCTATTCTGACATATTTACATTAAAATACTTGTTGTAAAATCAAGGTTAAAAAGTCTTCAAGTAACTTTTAGCCAGACAAGTACTTCTATTTTATTTCTTTGTTTGCTTAACTGCACTGTTGAATTTATTTTGTTGCATGGTAATGTTATAACTTGGTATCTTTTTCAAACATTTGCTAATTTTCCCAGTACCATCTAGTAACTTCTTGCTCACTGGTCTTTGATGTCTTCTACCTCACAAATTATATTTGATTTGGCTTGATTTCAATTTCAAGCTTTGAAGTTGTATGAGATGATCAAATTTCTTCCTTCTAATCATCAACTGATATTTTGTACAGTAATCTTAATGTGTTTGCAAGAAAATAAGTAAAACAAAACCAATAGTTTACAGAATAATGAGGGAGAGCAGGCTAAATAAAGAAATTAAACAGAAACAGAAGAAAGGAACAGGCACTGTCCATTTCCTTCGGGGGGAAAAGATGGTGGAAAATATATATGAATACATAGTGAATATTTGTTAAAGGTCTTTCTTTCTTTTTTTTTTTTTGGTACCAGGGATCAAACTCGGGTCCTTGTGCTTGCAGGGCAGGCGACGGAACCACTGAGCTAAATCTCCGGCCCCAAAGGTCTTTCCTACACCAAGCATTGACAAGTGCCAGGAAGTTATGAATAAGACAAATTGCTTGACCTCAGGCTGCTTAGATTTTAATGAGAAGTTTGGGGAAACATGATAAATATACAAATGAATTATGTAATTTCAGTTAATGACAAATGCTATGAAGAAAATAAAATTGAACAATGGGATAGGGAACAGGGGAGAAGACAAACAGGGAGATGAACAGTGGCCTATTTGAGATGATGCTTTGGCAGAGCTCTAAGTCAGGAAGAGGCATGGGAAGATGTGGGTAGGAGGAGTGCTCCAATAGGAGGGAAGAGTATAGGCCCCCTAATAAGATCAAGAAACAAGAGAGGGCTAATGCGGCTGTGTGGCATGGTTGTAAAGACAAGGTGAGATTAGGAGATGATGGCAAGAAGAATAGGAAAGGGCCTCAGGAAGACAATTATCAATGGCAATGAGAAGGCTTTTGAGGGGTTTAAGTAGAGATGTGATATGCTTTCTGTAAATTTAAATTTCTCTGGCTATTTTGTGAAAATTGATCTTGTAGAGGTTGAAGGGTAACAAGGAACTCAGTTAGAAGGGTCTTGTTATAAAAAAGATCCTAAAATACTTTGGCCTTTTTAAACATACCAAAATTAAATACCTGACACAATAGGGAGCAAAAATAAGTAAACAAACTGTAAGATTCTTGAGGGTAGGGATTTGTGTATATTTGTTCACTCAGTATCTGTACTGTAGTGGCTAAAATAGCCAAGAGTCTGCCACAACAAAATTATGTACATGGAATAGCTTTTTATTTGGAACCGGGACTCAGATGAAATGAATTGGTCTCAAAATTACAGAGTATATAAAAATATGGACAGATTTCAATTGAAGCTGAGTAGTTTTATAATAACATATTGTTTTTACTGTTATCACAAATTTTAAATTTAAAATTTAGCCACTTTATTGTAAACTGCTTCTCATCCCTTAGGCCAGTGATGGTGAACTTTTTAGCAATGAGAGCTCAAACTCTAACCCAAAACCCTCTTACTTATCACAAAATGCCACCACTGCAACTAAATCTGAATACTGAGGTTTTAGTTTAGAAAAAACAACTCATACATTAACATTTTTTGTTTTGAAAGAAAAACATAACACGTGTGCCGCAGGTTCTCCATCACTGCCTTAGACTATAAGTTCCTATATGGCAGGCATTTTAATTCTTCAATAGAACACAATGTGCATATGCATTGCATGAATGAATATTCAGGCTGTTGGAACTCTACTGAAGGAAAACTAGCACATACGTAAAATGTTTAAGCCAGAAAATTCGAACAACTTAGCAGTATTTATCATTTCTAACATTTTAGTCTTCCAGAGTAAACTTTGAAATTATATTATAATTTGAAATGATTCTGGTTTGACAAGTTAACTCTTGAGACATCTGAATATAGTATTATGAAAGAACAAAACTGTTCATCAAACCTTTATGCCAATGTTAATTTCTTTAAAAAGCAGAATTTTAATGTTTTTATTCCTAGAGTGACCCTTAAAGTTTCTGTGTTTGCGATCAGAAATGCACACAAAAGATGCATTTATAAGCTTATTGTGCAGCTCTAAAGACAGTTGGGAAACCCAATTTTAATTTTGTTACTGAAATAATTTAAAATATATTATAAAACTGCCTCTTTTCAATGAACAGCAAGGATCTAGAAGGAGATTATACCAAATAGGCACAATTTATTCAGGTTTATTATTGTTAGAGAAATGAAGTTGCCTAACTTCAAACTGCAAATAAAGTACTTTTACATTTATTTAATTTTTCATGTTACCACCAATATCAAAGTATACCATTTTCTTATGCCTTAAAAAAACTTAGATAATTCAACAAAGATCCATTATGCATATTAGTCATTGATATGCTAAAATATGAAAACACATTTCAGAAAATGTGTAAAATTTTCCGATGGCCTCTGAGAATGTGTTTGTAGTTTAGAACTGTCATCAGAGCAAGAGCACTCACCGGCTTTTGTCCAGAAGGTCTGCGCCCCGCGCTTTGTAATAATCTAAATTGGGATGGAACTGATAAGCCACTGGTCTTGGATTTCTCTAAAGGAAAAAAAAGACAATAAATTGACATGGGTAAAACCATCTAAATTATTCATTAACATACAAAAGACAGAAATACCCTTTCTTCAGAAAATAATGCATATAAAATGAAATCTTAATTGTTTAAGTTCTTCCTTAACTGATCATTGTGCTCATTAGAACTGAAATTGTTTTAATATATTTTATTTTAACCTGTCTCACAGCTCAAATAGATTTATCCCCATCATTAGATTTATTTTTGATAACTTTGATCACTTAATGACTTTCCAAAACATGAGATAAAGTAAAAGCAAAGCTGAAAGTTTATATGAGATATAACACAAGCATAAACTGTGCTAAGGGGTAAGAGACAGAAAGTCTGAAAAAGTGCATTCTGGAGGAAGACTGTCACCGTTAGTTTTTGAGGATCAGAATGCTAAATATGTCCACTAGATGGCACACTGAGTCTTCCTACTCCTAAAAGGAATGTTATTTCAAAATTCAGCAATTCTTCTGAGGTCAGAAATTTCTATATCATCTATTCTTATGAGTTTAATAAGTGACCAAAACATATCAGGTAGTGGAAATATCAGCAGGATAAGCACTGAATTGACCAATGAACGTTTTCATAAAGGCAGCAATAATACTGTCCTTTCTGGCATTTAATATTATTTATAATAAAGTAGAAATGCCCTTGGATTATTAGGCCAGGCGTGTCCATTTAAAGCTGTTGTTATTTTTAACTATATTAATTATTTAAATGTATGAAGACCCTCACAGGTAAGTAAAAAAATTATTTTTGACATATTTACCGCATAATTTAAATGAATACCATCATCTCTAAAATGTTAAATTACATGTACTTTCCATAAAAAAGTTTTAAAAACTTATAAATATACTCTAATGCTTACCTAAACATATAAGATTCAAATAATAATTAGGTCTTTGCACCAGAGCATGCACTGTCCTGTAAGAGGTCTACCTGGACACAGAGAGGCTATATCTCATCTTAATGAAAAATTATTGATATGTTTATATATCAATCAATCTTTGCAGACATTATCCCAAATCACTGATAGACTTGCATGTAGGCATGGGGGGGAGAAGGGGATATAATTGCTAAGGTTAAATAGTTTGAAATTCATTCAGCTAACAAGCTGCATCTTAATGGCCATGATGGACCTTTTCTTTTCCTGGTGAAAAGAGAATATTTACATGTTCAACCCTTTCATATCTCTTCCAAGACAGCTCTAATCATCTGACAAAAATGACAATCCCTTGATTTAGCTCCAGCTACTACTCCACTGGTTTGGTATTCAACACAGTTCTACAATAATCAAATCTGAATTGCCTTGATGAAGATAACTGATGCTTCCATGACTACCATACTATTAAGTCTAACAGTGCAACTTTTCTCTTTCTAGGAAATGCATAGGTTTCCTCATGGTAGTTGATGACAACCTGGACCCGGGTACTGTATAATGGAAAAATAAAATTGAGGTTAAAGCCACTGGCAAACTGACAGCGCATTCAAGATTTATTTTAAAAATTAGTGTTCATAGGACTATCATTCATGACTAATCCTGCTCTTTATTCTCAGTACCTGGAAATATATTTTGTTTTTGCTAACATAAAAAGCTTTTTTCTTCTCTGACTTCCAACAAACTAATAAAGGATTATGTTACTTTTTGCAAGAAAATAATGAAAGAGGCGATCACATGGAGCAGTTTCTTGAAACATCTTTATAAAGAAATGACGAGCAATTCAAGACACAAGTGCTGATCTATCTAAGCACTTAAAGCCATTATTAGGAATAATGATACAACTTGAACGTATGAATGAGGCTCAAGTATTGCTTTCACTGAGACCTATTTAAACTCCTAGGAGATTTACTGGTATCAAAGGGAGAGATAAAGTACCAATGTATTGGAAGCAACAACAACAAAAGGTATCAAAAGATGATACTGAAAAACAACATATGAAATACTAAGAAAAAAAATCAGTTATGGTTGAAAGACATTCCATAGGGTTTTCTGTTAAGAAGATGATGTTATAGTATTTCTAAAACGTAAGTATACAAACAGATAATTTAGGCCAGCTGTCCAACTGAAATATAATGTGGGTCATAAATACAATTTAAAATATTCTAGCAGCTACATTTAAAATAAAAAAGAAAAGGGAAATAGATAAAATTACAAGTAATTTTATTAAGTCTATCCAAAAATTTAAATTTTGAGATACTTTATATTCTTTTTGTACAGTCTTTGAAATACAGTGTGTATTTTACACTTATATCTCAATTTGGACTTGGCAGAATTAAATGCTGAACAGCTACATGTGGCTTGTGTATTGGACAGCACAGAACTAAATGTCTGACTCATTGTGTAAACCACTGCATAGCCAGAAAAATCAACACATGGACATGAATAATTTAAAAAGGTATGGATACATTTACACATTAATGTTAATTTCTGATGGTTCTTCAATTTATGTATAATTGTTTTCTCTTTTTGAATAAGGATTTCAGAAGTCAAGAAACTTTAGAATATCTTCTCACACAAACAAAAACCAAATTAAGATAGGTTTAGATCATTGTTAAGCATAAATATATAAATACACATTAAAGGTAAAAGAGACAATTGGGACTACATACCAAAATGAAAACAATTGTTTCCCTAGGGGAATAAGGTTAGACAAATAGAATTCTAATGTCACATGGTTAAAATATTATAAAAGTTAAGAGATACTTGCTTTGCTTAAAGGATTTTTTTTTCCAAATAAAATTTTATAGAACTATCTAGTTCTTTCTAATTTTTAAAGATCTGGAATTTTCTTTAAAACATGAGTCACTAGAATTGTACCTATGTAAAACTCTGAGGAAGATCAGAGCCCAAGACATCTATAATTTCTTATTGTGCAGAACGTGTTAAGTCAACACCTTTAATATCATGTCTTTTTCAGTCCATTTTCACAGAGTCAGGATTTCTGACAATTAGACTCAATGTACACTTTTTAAAAAAATTCTTTTATTTTGATGAATTTTCCTTTGGAAGAAAACAAGTAGAATAGTAGTTTTATTATAGGAAACTAAGTTAGATAGAAATTAATATACAGGGCTGGGGATTTAGCTCAGTGGTTCCGCCACCTGCTCCGCAAGTGCAAGACCCAAGTTCGATCCCTGGTACCAAAAAAATAATAATATACAATCAGAGAGGGACTAGGCTCTCAAGGAAGTCAGGAGAAAATTAAAGACATCAGAATTGCGGCTGAAGGCACAGCTGAAAAGGCAAGACTCCAAGATAATGTCACAATCACCAGACTTGCATACTTCCCCAAGGGATAAGCAGAATTTGGGATTATACTGTAATTAGTACCACCCAGTCCATTATCTAGATATGCATCAGACACCTGGGTTGGTGACCAGAACACCTGGACCCATCCCTTCCCAAAAATATTCCTGTTTTAGGGGTCATGGATTATCCTTAGTTAATGCTGTCAGTCATATACCCTTGCTATGTGCCCTGCTTCCCTATATCTATGTTAGCTAAGCAAGTATGCTTGTAATTTTATTGGTTGATTACAGTTTGACCCACATTATACCTACATTATGATTTTGCTGTGTCAATTATCCCTGACAAAGGGTCTCACTGGCAATCCACTTGGGGGTCCTCCTATCCCTCAAGAGCTATTCCTTTTCTCCAATAAACCTTTTCTACTGTTAACCTTTGTCCTTTAGAATTCATTCTTTAATTTCAGAGGACACAAACTCCACACATCTGACATCTAACAGTTTGGGAGTTATATTTTTTCCTATATCATTATCTTATTGAATTCATATTGACTTTCATATGGAATATCAATTATATTCTATGATCTGGAAATTTTTCTCTCACTAGATGTTTAACTTGCAAATACAGTCCACCCTGGGTTTACCATGCCTTTCAAAGCTAACCAAGCAGGAAGGGCTCGAAATAAGCTAATTAACTACCTAAATCATTCAACTCTTTAAATGAGGTGTGATTGAAAAATATGGTGAAAGTTTGAATATTTTTGGTTTTTGCTTTATTGAGACAGTATCTCATTATGTAATTTAAACTGGCCTTAAGCTCACTATGTAGCCCAAATTTGAGGCAATCCTCCTGCCTCAGCCTCCTGTGTGCTGGTATTACACGCGTGCACCACCAAGCCTGGCTTAAAAGTTTTAAAATTAGAACAAGAGACACATTGTTGTTGCTTATCCCCTCAATATACTCCCCCTCACCTCAAACACACTTATCCCACTGATTTTGCTACTTTCTGAAGCAGTGCTAGAAGTCCTCCTTCATTAGGGTCTTTACTTGAGCTGTCATGGCCGACTTGATATTCTAAAACAATTCAAAACATTTACCTTTCATGGTCATTTTGACTTTGGAGAAGAGACAGAAGTCTCATGGTGCCAAAGCAAAATTAATGGTGGTAGAAATGAGAGAGTCCTAGAGGAAACTATATGGAAAATCAAGTCAAAACTAAATAAAACCTGTGACGCGTACTTCTCACTTCCCAAAACACTTTTATTAACAGCATGATCACAAAACAATTTCCAAATAGTATTTAATGATAGCAATCAATTAAGAGTTAAAACTGAAATCTTATCTGTCAGTTATAATTCATCTTGTTCGCTCCTGAGGTCTGTATTAAATGATTGAGACCTGCTCCTTAATGTAGTTTTAGGCAAGAGAAACACAGTGAACAAGCCCTCTCTCCCATATACTGCAATGGACATCTGCAGATCACTATGTAGTCTTCCCCCTCTCTACCCTACCCCTCATGGCAGCATTTCAATATTTTAAGTCAAACACATTTTGTTATGGTAGTATAACAATATTTGAATGTTAATTCACACTAAGAATAACTACAAGATGCTGCAAGAAGTACTATTCACCACAACATGGTACCTGACAATTTTCCTTGTTCTGAGCTTGGTAAAATCAAACTCATTCAAAAAGGTCATTACAATAGTACTTCTGTATTGAATTACTAAT